CTGTTATATATGTTAATATTTTGTTAGTATTGAACTCTAATATCTCAATCCCATTTCTTCTGGTTGTGTGACACTGGAGAAGCTATATATGACTCTTTGTATCTCCTTCTCCTCAAAATGAGATAACAATATCTACCTCTTAGGATGTACATGGATCTGACAGTTACTGATGCTAATACTCATTAGGAGTTTATTAACTGTTATTATTAACACATATGGCATTTTATGCTGGTATCAGATACAACTCAGAGTTTTTCAAATGAATAACTTTATGGATACAGCTTTCAAAATGCAATGAAGGAATATTTCACTATGAAAATGACTATATTGGTATCATCTTTAATAATTTTTTTATTCATTCTCTCATATAGTACATTCCAGCATCTGTTTCCTCTCCCTTCTCTCCTTTCAGTTCCTCTTTTCCTTTTTCCCAGATTCACTCCTCTCTTTCCTTTCAGAAAAGAGCAGGCCTCCTAGTAATATGAACCAAACATGGCATAATAAATTTTACAATAAGAATACGCACATACCCTCATCATGGCTGAACAAGGCAACCCAGTGAGAGGAGAAGGGTCCCAAATGCCAACAAGAGTCGGAGCTAGCTCTGCTCCCACAGATAGGAGTCCCACAGGAACACCAAGCTACACAACCTCAGTCAGTCTCACGCAGGCTCTCTGAGTGCGGATCAGTCTATGCAAGCCCCAAATATGCCCTCCATTCCAGTTGTCTCCCCCAGTACTCTCTCCCTCTCCCCCTCTACCTGATCACCCTGTTTTCTCCAGGCCACCTGAAAAAAATCTTTTATTTGCCCTTTTCAGGGAGATCCATGTGTTCTTCCTTGAATACTCCTTTCTAATTAACCTTTCTGGGTCTGTGGATTGTAGTATGGTTATCCTTTACTTTATAACTAATATCCACTTATAAATGAGTACATATCACATTTTTCTTTCTGGATCTGGGTTGTTTCACTAAGGATTCATTCAGTTCCATAGATATGCCTGCACATTTCATGAGGTCATTGGGGTTTTTTTTTATAGATGAGTAATACTATATTGTTTAAATGTACCACATTTTCTTTATCCATTCTTCAGTTGTAGGACATCTCAGTTGTTTCCAGTTTCTAGCTATTATGAGTATAAGCCAAGCACCTAGAGATTAAGGGAGGAAGATCATAGCTTTGTCTACATATGCAATGAACATAGTGGAACAAGTGTTCTTTTGGTAAGGTGGAACATGCTTTGGGTATATATGCCTATGAGACATATAGCTAGGCCTTTAGGTAGTTTGAATTCCAGTTTTCTGAGGAATTACCATATTGATTTCCAAAGTGTCTGTACAAGGTCGAAATCCCATCAACAGTAGAGGAGTCCAGGATGAACATCAGTTTTCAAAAACAAGTTATTTCTTTTCTTTCAGTTCTTGTTTTTGAGGGTTTTTTTTATTTTTTCATTCAAAATTTACACTTCCTCCCCTCCTCCCATTCCCCTCCTGCTCCCCCACTCACCCTCCTCTCTTTCCCTCCCTCCTTAAGAGAGGCCAGGGTATCCTGCCCTGTGAGAAGTCCAGGGTCCTCCCCGCTCCATCCAGGCCTAAGAAGGTGTGCATCCAAATAGACTAGGGTCCCAAAAAGCCAACACATACAGTGTTTTTTAAGTAAAAAATCCCTTATATGGTATATATTTTGTGTCTTTTGTCTCTTTTTCTGGGTGTAGATATTTGTATTTGCTTTGTCAAATTCTCTATCATCATTATCTGTAACTTTCTAGCAAAGTAATTGATTGATAAATATTGGTTTAATGAAAATGTACTTCAGAGCGCAGGCTGTGATGGCACACCTTTAATCCCAGCATGCGGGATGCAGAGGCAGGTGGATCTCTTGAGTTCAAAGCCAGTTTGGTCTAATAGCACGAGTTCCCAGACAACCAGGGCTACACAAAGAAACCCCATCTCAGCAACCAAACAAAGAAAGTAAGAAAGAACGAAAATGTATTTCAGAATGAGTGTTTCTTTAGAGAGGAAATATTGGTAAAGTTCAGGGAGGAATATGTTTGTTGCATTTGTCTCATTTTTTCATAACCTGAAAAATTATAACTTTCTTTTAATATCTTTTTATGGGTACAACAGTTTTTGTTATGACATTATTTGCCTCTTTCTGCATACTTTAAGTCACAAATTAAATTTTTAAATACCAAAGAAAATTGAAGTATAGATCAGAAGGTTAAAATCTTTATCTACCTTACAAATATATAAAATATATTATAATGATATGATATAATACTGGTGAATAAACATTTAAATATTTTTCAGTAAATTTTAAAATTAATGACTTTACAAAAAGCAAAAAGGAATAATTAGATGCATAAATAAATCATATAGGATTAAATAGGTCTAAAGAAATCTTCAATATAGTTAAATGTAAATCACAACTATATATGTAGTAAGATCTTTTATTCTATGTCTTTATTTATATCAAAACAGTCATTTGGCCCTCACTGTCTGAATCTGAGATTAATATTAAATCCAAGCTCATAAACAAGGAAAATAAGTTCAACACCTATCTCTTAAGCAAAACAGGTGGGTTTTTTATTATTGTTTTTGCTTCAAGTGTGTGATAAAAGTTTTTATTTTGAGATCATTTCTGATTTCCTGAAATAAAATCATGTTGTCAGGCAGCCCCTTGTAGAATTTTAAATTAAAATATAATTATATAATTTTCTTCCTCCTTTCTCCATACCCTCCCCCACACACCAGATATACCTTGTTTCCTCTCAAAAAATATGTGTGTGTATGTGTATGTATACACACATACATGTATCTAAATATATACATACAGTCTACTCAGTCTGTGTAGTGTTATTTGTATGTACATGATTTCAAGGCTGACCACTTGGGATTGGATAACCAATAAGGGGACACATCCTTGGGTAGACTATTTCTCCTGCTCTCATTAGATGCCACCGGTAGTTCTTTATCTTTGGATGGGGTACCATGAGGTCTTTCCCTTCCATGTTAGCTTATCTCCTGGTGTTGTACTTCTTCAGGTCTTTAATAGGCAGCCATGTGGTTGAGATATCATTGGTGAAGTTCCCCTGTGCCAGACAACTTTTGATGCTTCTCATTTTTTTCCAATATTCCATTGATGCTTCTCCCTTTATTTTTTCTATTGTTTTCATTTTTTTCAGTTTCAACCTAAGAATATACCCAAAATAAACCCAAAGTGAGATTACTCTGTTTCATGAAAAAAATTTAATTCTAAAGCTGAAATTATTTACTTTGTCTTTGGATTTTTCATAGTTCATTTAGTCTTTAACTTTTTGATACTTAATCATTTCTTTATAAAAACTAATTGAAAATAGAAAGATAGTCATAGTAGAATAAAGCTTGTTGATATTTATGCAATTTATTTTCAAGTCATAATTTTCATTTTCAGTATGAGACAAACTTTCTCCTTGTTGTAGAACAAAAATAGATAAACTATAATGGTATCATGTGTTCCCTCCAAATAATAATGAAAGGAAATGTGTCACAGAGTTTTTACACAATTTTTAAAATGTGGTAAGTGAATTGTCACATAACACACCGTTAAATAAATATACATCGTAAGAGAACCCACTTAACCAGTGTGCAGCACATCATATGTTCAGAATATGTTACCTCTGTGTGTTTGTACGATGTGCATATGTGTATATTTACATGTTCATTTGTGTGAGCAGAGGCTTACACTGCCATGGCATGCATGTGCAGCGGTAAGGATAACATCCGTGTCAGTCCTCACTTCTCACTTTATTTGAGACAAGCCCCTGGCCCGTGGCTTATGGATTCTCCCATCTCCGCCTCCCATCATGCCGTAGGAGCACTGGGACTGTAGACATAGTGCCACGTCTGACTCCTTAGTTCGTTCTAGTGATGGAAACTCGGAGCCTCATTTGTGCAGCGAGTACTTTTCCTTCTAAATCATTACCTCAGTCCGCCAGAATTTATCTTCACAAAGCTGTCAGATAACTTAATATTAACTTGAAATGTCTTGATTTTTGTGATTACTTTATTTAATTGGTAAATGTGCTAAGAGTATTTTACATATATGAGCCGTGTACAGTCAATTTTATATGTGTATATCAACATCATGTAATCTAAATCAACATTGAGTTTCTGTTAAGCCTTTTTTCTTTTCAAAAGATTTGTATATTACCCCAAGGAGGTACTGATACAGATGATACATTGTAGTTGGGGCCAGAGTAAGAAGTACAGGTTTGGATTATAGCTACATTTTGCTTGTACCATGAAAATGAATTTTTCCTATTCATTATGACAAGTTCCATTTGTCAAGTAGTCTAAAAGGGTGTTGTTTAGATCTTAAGTCAGTATGCCTATTTATTGATTATTTCTGAAACATATTATTTTTAAAGTAGATAGAATGAGGAGTAACTTTTAATTTCTTTTCGGAACCATGGGTTTTATATTTTATTGCTTTAAGTAGTGTCCCATTATAACTTCATATCATCTTAATTTGCACCATATCTTTTTATAGTTTGTATAATTATTATGTAAAATGATTTAAATAGCTAAAAACTGAATTGTTTCTTTAGACATTTTTATTTAGAAAATTTAATATAAGTTGATCATAGACTACATTATTATAGTTTATTACAAATTGAATTTGATTTTAGATGCTTGTTTTTTATTCAACAGTGGGTTTTTAACTAGAGCTATTTGACAAGGAGATAAAATTATTTGAACTAGTTTGATCCTAATTTTGTGAAACTAAATGTTTTCAATATAATATTTATAATAAGACTAATTGAAAACTGCAGCTGAATTACCAAAGTTCTATAAACAGTGTTATTTTGTTTGTATTTAACATTATTTTTACCTACCATTTTTGTTGCAAAAAGAATCCTTGTCTCTGAGAAAATACAGTGGTGTTATTTACATTAATTCATATGACTTGGTTTAAAAAAATGCTAACTCCTTTACTTAATGGGATTCTTCCCTTGTGGCAGTGCAAACGGCTGCACCAGGAGCTTCATCGTCTGAAAGAGCAGAAGCAGACTTCAGCAAACAACACGAGACACCCGACTGCTGAAAACAATCAGGAACGTGCTCTGAAGGTAAATGGCCATTCCTTCTTGCAGGCAAATTAAGGTTGTAAGCCCTTGGTGCCAGCTTTCTGTGCTGCATATATCAGTTGTGTACATTTCAGCAATAGTGAGCGGTGCTGTTTGCCAACAACCCCTTCTTTAAACACAGATACAGCACCCTTCTGTTATGGTATTATTTTATTTCATGTATGTGTACATGAAAACAACATTTCTGAATTTTGAGTGGTCATATATTAATAACTTCTGGTATGTATTTATTTTATTTATATTTTTATGTTATTACCTTTTATACTAAAATGATAAATCATCAGCCTTTTCTTTGTAGCAACATTTGTTACACAATTTTAAATGTGTTGAGTATTTGACACCCAGAGAGCTAACGCTGCTTGAAGAACATGTGAATTTGTTTGGAAATTAAAGGAATACTTAAACTGTAAAAACAAAAGAAAGAAAAGAAAAATGGTGTATTCAACTAGAACTTGAAACCTGTGACATATGTGTTTTATGGCATGTTCTATCTCAGTGCAATACAGATCCAGTAATCCTGAGCGGGGAAAACATTCTGAGTCTTACTATGTGAGTGGGGGCTGTGCTCATGACTTCCCATTCTACTTTTTTTCCCTTTCTGTTATTTTTTGGGGGGTGGGGGAGTGTTTCATGAAGGGTTTTCTCTGTAGTCCTGACTGTCCTGAAACTCACTCTGTAGACTAGGCTGTCCTTGATCTAGGAGTTCCAACTGTCTCTGCCTCCTGAGTGCTGGGATTAAAGCTATACACCCCCATGCCTTTCCATTAGACTTTTAAGTTACTTTAGTTTTTACTAAAGTGTCTCTGAAACACTCATAGTCGCTGCCCTCAAGGTGTTTGCATGTTCATTAACAAGTTTAGTCTGTGAGAAACAAAAATATCATCTGTTTATTGTACGACAAGAGATTTTCTAGGCTTGTGCTATTGTTAGTCCCGTTAAATTCATTTTTATCTTAGATTATAAGTAAATATCATGGCTAAAGAGCCTGACACATTAAACCAAAGCTGACAAAATATCCTCAAAAAAAAAATGAGTAAAAACTGTGGTGGTGGCTCAGTCAGAAATGTCTTGCTATGCAAGAGTGGAAACTTAAGATAACCAGCACTCCGTGAAACACTGGGTACTGAAATGTATGCTTGTGGGGAGGAGAAACCTGTGGGTCCCTGGTGCTTCCAGTCTAGCCAAGGCCATGAACTGTAGGATCAGAGAGATCCTGTCTCCAAAAATGAGATAGAAAGCAACTGAAAGTATACATGATATTATACCTGTATACTGATCTGGCCATACAATAACATGCACCCACACAGGCATATCCTCACACAGGCATACACCCCACACACATACATACACTGAAAACTGTGTACAGTGTTTCTAATTATACAGATTAGTATGACATGTGAGATTTAGTAAAAACATCTTTCCACAAAATGTTTTTGAAATTCACACTGATATATAAATTAGTTGACATTAATCCATTTTCTATTATATTTACAAGTAGATCAAAACTATAGATAAGAGATAATTACAGATTTCTGTGATGATTTTCAATTACTCCCAAATAATAGATAACTTTCTGAGAATTAAATATAACTTTTGGAATGTGTGCACATGCAGAGCAGAAACAAGTGTTCTAAAGTCGCTCTCCATCAAGCATGATGGTTTGTTACCTGGGCTCAGGACAGACCATGAGACAGTATGTTATGGCTGTTTCAAGTTGAAACAGGGCCTAAGATGACAATCTAACTTGGTAGTTATTAACATATAGTAATAATAAGAAATAATATAAATTTCTGCCATTTTGGCATGTTTTTGGTATATGTATTTAAATGGTTATAGCTATTCATGGAGCGAAATACATGTCAACTTCTGAGAAGTTACTCAGTTTAGAAAGAAACAAGTAGAGCGCCCAAGACACCTGGGAGGTTGAAGCAGAAATAAATCACCTGTTTAATGGAAATGACCTGCATTAAAATCTTCTCTATTTCATCTTTGACTTTTCTTCAAAAGTCTAATTTTGATGTTCCATCTGTTAAATAAACTGACTTTACGTCTTAGAAAAGAGAAGGGGAAGAGTCAGTTCATCAATTTAGCCTTTGTAAAAGTTCTGTATATATTGAAATTCTTAAAAATGTCTGCCATGCATAATGCTGAGTTTTAGTCTATTTTAAAGTATTTCATCATGGAAAACTTAAGTTTAGTATAAGACTATGTTCACTTATAATACATCTCCTTATTCTTTTTTTCAAAAAGATTTGTTTAGTTTTATTTTATGTGTATTAGTGTTTGCTTTCATGTGTGTATGTGCACCATGTATATACCTAGTGCTTTGGGGGGCCAAAAGAGGACCTGCTATTACTGGAGCTAGAGTGGCAGAGTTGTGAACCTCAGTGTGCCTGCTAGAAAACAAACCCATCATGTCCTCTAAGAACAAGTGCTCTTAACCACTGAGCCATCTCTCTGACCCACAATTATTTATTCATCCTAAATCATAGTTTTAAATAATTGTTTGGAGAAATCTTACTCTTCATTTGGTCATTGTTTTTCTGGTTGTCATTCAAGTTATGGAGGACACGTTTGATGTGAAATTATCAGTCCATTTATATGTACCATTAGAATATTAACTGATTAGATATTAATTTTTGTAGCTAAATGGACATTAAGAACATTTTAAAAAGAGTGACTCTCTTTTGAAGTATTTAATCTCATCAATATTTCTGATATTACATGTACTATAATCAAAATCTTGATACATATAAATTTTAATAAGGTAAAAAATTGAAATTTTTGTTTTCTTTTTTGACTCAGTTATACTGAAAATATGTTTGGTTTAAAAAAACCAAAGTTAGTGATAATGTATTATGTAGAACTTTGTGAAGTGGTAATGATGGCAAAGCCACAATCACTATACAAAGAAACACTTTTAGGTATTTTATTATTATTATTCAAATAAACATGTCTCTTTTTCCTAATAACCAGAAAATTCTTTCTAGATTATTTTTTATGCTGGAGGATAACAACAGATTTTTTTGTGAATTTTAATAAACTTTCTATTTTATACTAACAAAGATTTTAAATATTATTTTATTAATATTTAGCAAATTTTATACAATGTATTTTGATCATAGTCACTCTACCCCAACATCTCTAGATCCACTACTACCTCCCCACTCAACCAAATTAATGTTCTTTCTTCTCTCTCTTTTTCTCCCTCTCCCTCTCCTTCCCATTGAGTCTAGTTTGTGTTACCCAACTATTCTTGGTGTGGGGGCCCACTCTTGAATGTGTTCAATATACCACAGTTCACACCATTAAAGAAAACTGACTCTCCCTCTCTCAGAATCTATCAAGTACCAATAACTTCTCAATCAAGAGTCAGCCTTCATACCTATTGCCCTGCTTTGTGCTAGGATTTTGTCTGGTTTGAACTTATACAGGTCACAGTCTCTGTTAGTTCAGATATGCAAACCTGTTATGTACAAAACACTATTTCCTTGAAATCATCTACAACCTCTGGCTCTTATAATCTTTTTTTTAAAGTAAATTTTATTAAATTATAAAAGTTTCCATTTCCGCCCCTCTTCCCAACACCCTCCCACTCCCCCCACTCCATCTCCTCCTCCCTCTTCGTCCCTTAGGGCAGTCAGGGTTTCCTGCCCTGTGGGAAGTTCAAGTTCCTCCCCACTCCCTCCAGGTCCAGGAAGGTGAGTATCCAAACAGACTGGATCCCCAAAATCCAGTATATGCAGAGGAAACAAGTCCCAGTATCATAGTCAATGGCTTTTCAGAAAAACTTCGGGCCAGCCACATTCAGAGAATCCGGCCAAATTCCGAGAATCTGGTTAGATCACATCCTCGTTCAGTCCCAGTCCAACTGGCCTTGATAAACTCTCATTAGATCCGTTCCCTTGTATCAGTGGGTGATAGCATCCCTCGCAGTCCTGATTTCCTTTTTCATGTTCTTCCTCCTTCTGCTCCTCATTTGGACCTTGGGGGGCTCAGTCCGGTGCTCCAATGTGGGTCTCCGTCTGTATCGCCGTCCTTCGCCAGATGAAGGATCTATGGTGATAAGCAAAATATACATCAGTATGGTTATGGGCCACGGCCTGTTCAGGCACCCTCTCCTCTGTCCAGAGAACAATCTGGGGGATCTCTCCTTGGACCTGGGATCCCATTTATAATCAAGTCTCCTGTAAACCCTAAAATGACTCCCTTAGTTGAAATATATTCTTCCCTGATCCCATATTCATCCTTCCTCCCTCCCCCCCATCCCAGGCCACCTAGCTTTCCCCATTCCTCCCCTACTCCCTTCTCTCTAACCCTCTCCCCTTCCATCAACCCTCCCCCCCCCCCCCCACAGCACCCGGGGTACGGGGCACTCTTGTATATTTCATACCTCCTGGAGGATAGCTAAATAATCTTCATCAGGTTCATCTTCTTATTTAGCTTCTCTAGGATCACGAATAATAGGCTCAAAGACCTTTAATTATGGTTAGAATCCACTTATGAGTGAATACATACCGTGTTCCTCTTTTTGGGTCTGGCTTACCTCACTCAGTAAAGCGTTTTCTATTTCCATCCATTTGCATGCAAAATTCAAGATTTCATTGTTTTTTACCGCTGAGTAAAACTCTAATGTGTATATGTTCCACACCTTTTTTAACCATTCTTCTTTTGAGGGTCACCTAGGCTGTTTCCAGGTTCTGGCTATTACAAATAATGCTGCTATGAACATAGTAGAACAAATGCTTTTGTAGTATGTTAGGGAATCTCTAGGGTATATTCCCAAGAGTGGAATTGCTGGGTCCTGAGGGAGGTTGACTCCCAGTTTCCTGAGAAACCGCCACACTGATTTCCACAGTGGCTGCACGAGTTTGCATTCCCACCAACAATGGATGAGTGTTCCCCTCACTCCACATCCTCTCCAGCATAGGCTATCGTTGGTGTTTTTGACTTTAGCTATTCTGACAGGTGTAAGATGGTAT